GCGAACTCATCATCATCATCATCATCATCATCATCATCATCATCATCATCATCATCATCATCATCATCATCATCATCATCATCATCATCATCATCAATGCCTTTCTCACCCTGCGCCAGGGTATAGTCCATGGACAAACACCCTCCACTTTTCTCTATCCTGGGCTAGCCTCTTGATGTTATTCCATGTAGTAAAAAACCTTACTAAAACTAAAAAACTAAAACTGTGTTGTTATAACTAGTTTGTTCTTCCCCGGTCTGTGTGTGTGTATGTGTGTGTGTGTGTGTGTGTGTGTGTGTGTGCGTGAGTGCACACACTCGTGCGCGTGTGTGTATGTGTTTGAGTGAGTATGTGTTTGTCTATGTGTTCTTGTAAACATTATGCACACCACATATTATTTGCTTGAAAGGACACAAGACCAGCCACAAAAGTCTGTTCCCATTCACAGACACACCCCTCCTTTACCCCATCTTTTCTACTTATTCTTATTCTTCCACTGTCTTATACCTGCATGTGCAAAAAATAAGTTTAGTTTTGTTCTCAACTACACATATTTTAATATGTCAAAACAAACAGTAAAAACTCAACAACGAAATGATAATCAGAAAATGTTATTAAAAAACAACATTGCCCGCTGTTGACCCCATCAGAGAAAAGAGGTTTGGATCACAATAGAGTGCCAAGTCTCTAGCTCTTATCCTTGTGAGGGATGGACCTTTCCCTATTTAATGACAACGAAGAGCACAAAAGTATCCTATAATAATTCAAAATATCTGTATTTATATAGTGCACATCCACTATCTACAGCATGCTCTATGAGCTTCACAGTTATTATTATCGAAGGAGACTCTAGAATATTCTGAAACATTCACGACTTCCCGAGAAGAGCACAGTGCAATCAGCGGATTACATGCGCTAAAACACGAACAAATAGAGGCAATATCTTTCGCTGACTACAGCTGGGTACAAATTCCCATCTGGGAGAAGTGGAAAAAAATTTGTGTAAAGTGCCTTTCTCAAGAACACAATCTCTGGCCCCTGACGGGATTCAAACCCACAACCTTCCAAATAGTACAATGGATTATGGATTTTAACATTTAGAAGAATAATTTAATTTAATTTATATTATGGGTTTTATATGGGGGTATAGATCTCAAATTCATCAGCATCCGTCTTCAATTTGTCCCCGTGGTTTTATGCACCCCGCATTTGATCATTTTTTGCATAATTTCTGATTATTTTCCTTTATCATTCTTTGTTAAAAATAACAGAATCGTATAATTTCACATTTTTGGCATCAGTTTGTATAATTTCAGAATTTTTCTTGCATAAAACGACAGTCCAATAGAACAAGTCAGGATGGTGGAGGAAACCTTGTACATTCTCCTAAAGAAAACTCAAATTGAGGACTGCCCCCTCAAAAATTCAAACTAAGCCAAAATTATAACTTTAGCAGCCAATATATCGGTATATCACTTTAACAGCGCCATAAATCAGCATGTGGATTGAGTTTACAAGAAGAGCCCACCCCTCTGGTGTAAGCCATGGGGAGTGTAAGCCCCTGAGTAATTGAGCAGAATCTAATAAGTTCTATTACCGGATATTTATTTTCTCATCTATCCATTATAGAAAATTGAGGTAGTTCAGCAGTATCTTTCCCACTTTTGCACAAAGCCCAGTACAACTCGGGTGCAGAGTGAAGCACTACACTATTTCATACGTATTAATCACTGAAACTAACATTTCATTTATGAACACACAGGAGAAAAGAGTCTCCCTACAAGATAAATTTGAAAGATTGAAAATCTTCAAATCTTAAGTTAAAACCAATGAATAAAAGGATATATTGCCATTCAGTAGTTTGAGGTTATATCTCACAATATGGGTTGTAGCTTTAAAATACCATTCTATTCTAAGATGATATACAATTACAACATTACTATCCGGGCACAGATAAACCTGTAGGCGTATTACTTAGCATCAATGCGACATTCTGTACGCGTATACAACACTGTGCAAGAAGACATATTTCAGATTTTCCACAAAACAGACATGTATGTTTCACGGGACCGGTTACTTCCCTTGATCAGTAGGAAGCTTCACGGATAATTACTTCCCTTGACTATGTGTTGGTTCTCTGAGTTACCTACCCTTTCATACCAATGAAGACTTTTCATTGTTTTCTTCGAGTAGAAGTTTGTACCCATGAAATATCTTATAGTGGTAGAGAGGGGGAGTCATTAGCCTGAGGGCCTGTGATATTACAACCTCATACACAAAATGTAGTTATATTTTCAGATAACTTGTCACATGTGTGTTTTGTTTTTACACAACTTTGCACAAAAAAATACTAAACAGAAATAATTATGTAGAATATTTTTCCCCTGCTCATGAAAGGTCTCACCAAAACAGAAAATACTTTCCTTTTTTGGACATTCCGACAAAGCCTGCTTTTCGGCTTATTTTAAGTCTAACAATAACAATAATAGCTCGTCCGTAAATGTCTGACAATGACCAAGGTATCCAGAGAGAAGATTTTTCAAGCAAAATAGAAGAATTAGAAGAAAGAAAGGTTAAGATGACTTGTGGCTTCTGCAGTGGCCAATGAGACCAAATTCTGGTAGAAAAAGGTTTGCCACATTTTGAGTATTCAAAAGCTCTACTTTCACTTGTGGGCTTATCTCTTGGTTTCAGCATTTCTTCTTCATGAAGCCTCATATGACTTGCTGCCCACTAAGTCTGTCATGAGCTACCCTCTCCTATGTGGAATTATTTAATTTATGTTGAAGTCCTTCAATTTCAGGGTGTCTTTGCAGTGCTTTTTCTGTAAGCCAACCTTACGCTTCCCTTTAGACAGTTCAGAATAGAAAATCACCTTTCATATTTTGAAATCAGGCATTCTTATAACACGGTCAACAAAACTGAAAATATTTGTCTTTTTTGAACATTCAAAGTAAGTCTGCTTTTAGGCTTCTGTTAAGTCTGACACAAACAAGAAAAATTACCAAACTCACAAACAGCAAAGAGTAGATTACCTTGTGTGAGTATTGTCAATTTCAATCAGTTTGGGCTCCTCTCTCAGTTCATCCACCTGAAAGCCAAAAGTGCACCCAGTTATATGTAAGCACTGCAATAACATCTCAGGGCTCTAGTAAGGTCACAGGAACACACACCAGAAGAAAAACAAGGACCACACAGAGGATTTTGTTCTGTTTTTCAATCTACATTCTTCTAGACGAACACACCCTTTTAAGGGACAAGATAACATTATTTCTAAAAACGAAAAGAACCCCAAAAATAATGAAAACTGGGAAAATCATTGTGTGCACAATATTGTTCTTTTTTCAATTCCTGCACATTTCAATAATTCCTACACACAAAATTGCACATTTACCCAAAAGAAAATGTTTAAAATGCAGTAAACACTCGCTAAATATGCAATACATTAGACACATAAACATAATATTAGATATGCATAAAGCCACTATATAATCTTTTTGCTACAAAATTATCATTTGCCTAAAAAGGCTTGAAAAAGTAATCATCAGTACACCTCCAATACATAAGAATTAAACGCACCTTCTCTGAACACTCATCAAAAAAAGCAAGGCTGGCATCATTGTCGGAGACAAATGAGCGTTCTTCTATGAACCGAAAGAACATCTGTGTACGCATGAGCTGGGAGAAAAACTTGGCATGGGCTTTGTCTCGGCTCTTCAGAAAACCTGGTATGTGAAAGTGATAAACAACAATGAAAAATAAAATAGATCTCTTGCTGCTGGTCAAATACTGCTCAAATCAATGAAACTGAAGAATCCAAAAACAAACTAAGTTGAACAAGAGTTCAGGAGGTCCTCCTATCTATCACACAAAAGGTAACAATTTCTCAATTTTAAAATGTTTCTATGATGCAATAATCATAATAAAAGAAGCAACAGGAATTCTAGGGACAATCTTTAAGTATCGCTTTTCACAAATTATAATTTATCAAAATTTGTAGGATAAATCTAAATTCATTTTCACAGAGAAAGCTAAGGTTGCACAGAAAATACAAATTATTATCACAATGAGCATAAAGCACCCCAGCACCCTACCATACCTTTCCACTATAGAAGATTAACTTGTCAGTATACTTAGGGTGTTAACAGGGCCGTGAGAAAAGGCAAGCCATATGTAACACTTGGAACGTGCAAATATAGCCATGAGTGTCCTTGAGCAAAGATTTTTAACCCAAGTTCAGGGGAACATGTGCAGCACTAAGCATTAATGGTGGTTGAAAATATTTATTTATGAACATATGACGCAGAGTCTGCACAAGTGTTATGAATAAGGGCATACAAAAGTTCTTGTGAAACAAATTTCCATTCAAGAGCAAATAAACTGGTCTTAACATCTGTTCCTTCTCTTGAAAACTATGTTTGCAAATCTTCAAATATAATAAGCCAGAGACTCAACAGATCAGGACTCACCCTGCATATCAAACAAAGTCTGAGCATCTGTTGTGCGTATGGTGGGCTGCTTCATGATGGGATTCAGGAAGTTCTTGTAGTCCTTCAAAATAGAGGCTGTGAACCGCAGGAACACCTCCTGGATGGCAAGCTCCAGCTGCATCTGATGGGAAGATAGAAAACAAAACATTACAATATTGCACCTGTGCTCAGTCTTTTTCATGTAGACTGATGCTTTTATTAATTTAAGGAGAGTAATGAAAGTCCAGTGTGGACTCTTATAACAATCTTCTTAATAGGAGCAAGACTCTCACAAGACCTAATAGTTATGAAAAACATAGCCCGTTTACAGGAATGATCAAATGTACACCCATTATTCCATGATTAAAACCACAAACTGCATTCCATTTTTCAATAGAGTTCATTGATTTGCAAGCTACATGTGAAATATAAACAGACTGTCTAATGAAATCTAATGAAAAAGTCAAATAAAAGAAAAATGACATAAAATCTTACAGTTTGCTTCTTGCGCCGGAAATCAATGTCAAAGTGGGTCATTTCCAGGGAAACTCCATCACTGTCATGTGGCTTGACATCCAGCAAACTGGCTTTAGCAAAGAGGCGGGAAAGGCTCTCCTGCAATACTCGTGTGGCTTTCTGAAAATAAACATATGGGCAAAGTGTTTGATAAAAAAACCATCAATGAATAAACTAAATGCGAAACAGAAACTACTTTTTAAACTTGTCATCACTGTCTTTCATCATCTTATAAAATACCTCACAAGTGACTATAATGCCATCACAGCACCAGCATATGCAATCTTTGTGACTAATTACCCGACTGAGAAGTCAACACTTGTCATTTCACAAGCTGGAGAAAAGTGCCTAGATCTATATACTATTATCCAGCCACATGATTATTTTGAGCTCGGTGACAATTTGAGCAATGAGAAGTATATTGAAATGATGATGGTCATTTAGTGCTGAGAAAAAGTATGAGAGACAAACAGAAACAACGGTGGGAGAGAAAAGTAGTAGGATCTACCAGCGACACTCTCCAACCACATGCCACAGGATTATGAAAGCCTAAAAAACAACATGCTGATAAAACGTGAGCAGAAGAGCGGTAGATGTCAGTAACAATCTTCAGGTAAGTATAGGCAATTCAAAGTACTGATTATACCTCTAGTCTTAAAATCAATTACAGAATCTTCACTAGAAACTTTCGCAAATGCCATAATTTGAAGAAAAAAATTAGCAATACCTTTGGTAGCAGTTTATAACTCAGGGACTTTTTGTCTTCAGGTCTGGGGAAAAGCAAAATTCCAGAGGAAATAATGAACAGTCAACTCTAGCAGCAGCTACTTCTTTTCAATAAAATAACCAAAATGTTTTAACTAATACAATCCTTCATTCCTTCCCTTTCTCATTGTGCTTTGGATAATAATGACAAAATACACATATTTGTGATCTACAAAAGAAAATGACATAAATCTCTACAGAAAAAAAATGCGTAACTTCAAACTTCTATTGATATTTTCAATCATACAATAAAACAACATTATAGTCGCCTTCACCATAAAAGTTTCTTCTTAATAATAAGACTGACAACAAACAAAATCAATAAAAACAATACTGTTAATCTGTGGCACTTACAGGTAAAGTCTGTTGGTATCCAAGTCAACACAGATGACATCAGGAGGAGGGTCATAGAGGTCAAAGTAGCGTGAATCCACACCTTGATAAAGTAAATAACACCATGAGTTCACTAGACTTAAGAAAGACAAAACTCATTAAGTCAGACATGGTGCAAGCAACATTCTCTCTTAAACTCTTGATCCTTTATTTCAATATCTTTAAAGAAAAATAAGTTGAGAAACGTCTCCTCCAATCGATTCAGCTCTCAAAATAAATAATGGACTTCCAATATTTTGTCAGTGGGTCTTTTCATACCCCTGTCTTCATGAACGTGTGAGCATCAAGCTCCCTTGGAAATGGACCAAAAAAATGAAATAATTCCAGAGGTGTTGCCTGCATATTCTGCAGGTAAAATACACTTTGGTAATAAAAAGTGAAAGTAGATTAGGCGGAAAAAGTTGGCTCCTCCAACAAAATCTAATCCCCTACGTGAAAATGTTAAAACTCGGGGAAAGGAAAAAAGCACCTTGAAATAAGCAAAATATGTTGCAAACTGAAAAGGACACTCCAGTACAGTGTGTGACAGACAGATCTACTGTTGAAATCTAGTAGGGAACACATAAGGAAAAGGAGTTGGAAGAGGAGCAGGATGGGGAGGAAAAGGAAGAAGAAAAAACAAAGAGTTAAAAAAAAATACCCCAAATATATCTTGGAGTAACAATTGATAACACGCTTGACCGGCATCCCCGCGCTGCTCTTGAGCATAAAAAATTGGTTACTGTTGCCTATTCTATCAAATTGTTTGTGTTTTGAAAATTTTGAAAAGGCATCGTTTGATTGGTGTAGACTAAAGACCACTCACACTGACACGTGCAATTTAACTGTCTTGGTACCGGTAGGCTCATTACTGATCGAACTTGAGAGCGTTGCTTATCATGTTTCTCATTCTCAATCTAAAGCAGCAATCTTTGTTGCTTCCCTTGATTCTTCGACACAGCCGAAACTCGAACTACGGATCCCTTGAACTACCGAGGCCGGTCTCAGCGAATTCGAGCTATCCGTGTTATACAGTACTTCTATTGATCCTTGAGGAGAAAAATGGGTACAATAGCATGAGCAATGCATACATAAAGAAATTCAAAGGTTTTATCCACAGCACAATATCATAATCTAGACAACATTCACAAACACTTTTGTTTTCTGCCACAACACAGTCCCCTGGAGGTGGAGGAAGAGAAGAGGAAGAATAATCAATAAGTGGTGCATTGACAGTACAAACTCCTTACCGACAATGAAGGGGCAAGGAGCATTCAGTACATCTGAAAGACCCAAGGGGCACAGAGGGATGTATGGACACTGCCAGTGAAATGGGAAGATCATCTGAAATATAACCCCAAAAAAACACACAATAGTATGACAAAAAGCTGGAATGTTCAGAAGTCATCAGGAAATACAGAAAATAAACACAATGTTGCAAAAGAGGCATTAGACTGTCACTGAAACATCAAAGACTTACAATATCTTTTTTGTCTAAACTAAACTTCTGTACCACAAATTTCTGTTTAGATGTTAAAAATTCATGGAAAAAAGGCTTGACAGCATGCAGAATGTAAGCCAGTCCATATATTTAATTTAAATTCCTTTAATTCAGTTATCAGTATCAGAAATGTAGAAACATTTGAGAGTTCACAGTACCAATACATTTTCCTTGTCACACAAACTTCCTCTACTATGAGGGATCCAGAGAAGACAAAACCCCCAATTGTTTACCATTATAAAAAGATCTCTGTTCTTTGTCACAAAACTTTCCAAAAGCAGAATGACCACAACTCCAACAAGAATAGAACATGCAACAATCCCTGGATTGAATAAACATGCGGAGTTAGACACAAATTTTTTTTTTTACGAACAGCACAGAACTCACGGTGGACACTGCCTCAGCCACCTCTGTCAAAACAGTCGGTCGCAACGAGTGCAGCAAAATCTTGCTCTCCAGCAGCACAAACAACAGCACACTCATCGTGTGGTCTGGTCCGAGATTACCCAGCAGGGTGATAAATGACGCACCACTGGTGAGAGAGGAAGACCAGATATTTTTCTGAAGTTCTCTGTACATGGCAGCAACATGGAAACAAGAAGGTTAGCGCAGTGACAGCCATACACTTACATTACTAAGGGTAGGGGCAGAGGGGAGGACCAACAGACAAACAGAAAGTATACAAGAATAAAAATATGAATAACGTTCCAGTCATCTCCTTCAAACACACATCATACCGTGCTTAAAAAAAACAAACATTATTAACGTAATTACAGTTCAACTGCCTTTCCATACCAATCGAAAGGCAATACACATTCAAGTCTTTTTTTACAACTCTGAAGGGCTACTTTGTATCTCACAAACAAAATAAACATACCAAAAAAAAGAATGCACGTTTTAAGTCTCACAAAAGTGTTAGCATTTTCTTTAAACATACATATGATGAATAACTGGATCACTTGCATGAAATCTTCACTATGCCTGAGAAAAGCACATTCCCAGAATAAAGGTCCTTTAGTGCTGACAAAAAGTAAGACAGACAGGCAGAAACAAAGGATAGTAAAGATGCAGAATCTACCAGTAGCACCCCACAAACACCCACTAGTTTGACCATAAAATTATATTCTTTTTTCATAAAGCACCATTGAAAAGCTGACTAAATCCAGATAAATATCAAAATAGCATTGAGCCCAGATTAAATCACCTCTGAGGCAGTGGGGAGTCCTCAGGCATGCACAGGGAGAGCGAATCATGAGCCAGCTGCACCAAAATGCGCGGCCGTTCAGGCGATGGGTACGGCACGTGGTACATAAAGTGAGAGATATGTCGCTCCAGAGGCACATGGTGCGGCCCCGTGATGGACACCTTGTACAGCTGGGACAAAAACTTCTTGAAGGCGTCGAAGAAGGGCCAGTGTGACAACAGAGAGATGGATTTGCGCACATGCACTGTTTTCTGTATGCGGTACTGCTCTCGAATGCTCTTGTTCTTCAAGCCCAGGGATCTCATCTGCAGGTCTGTCAGATCCTCTTCTCTGTACTCCTCATAGAACCCCACAGCTGCACCATAAACCTGTGGTAGAACATTGAACACATTATTACACACATTCTTCTTAATCTGACAATATGACACTTTGCTCTGAACCCTCAGTATTTTGACTCAGTGAGATTCCCCAATACAAGAATAACCATGGATAACTTTGTGGGTATTTTTCAGATTTCTCACACTAGATTTCTTTGATAAAACTTGGAGGCATCAGCAGGCAGTGCTTCTCTTTTTGTCTCTTGGGTCAGGTGCAACAAAATGTTTTTACTATCAGCTTTGTTCTAATGTAATGGCCAGCAGAGAGCAATATAATTGTTATGTGCTGCAAGTACTGCCTCAGACATCACACTAAAAATGTAGGTTCCACATAGACCTACGTCATACAGGTAAAAAGTAGGGGTTACATGTATTTAATTGTGCAGGTGCACTCCAACTCATGGGCTGTGGGTACCGGTACCTAAAATACAGCAGACAGTAAATTTGTATCAAATTTATATAAATTTATATAAACCTGATGTATCAACGAAGGTGAAAATTCACATGGCAAAGAGATTTAGGAATGAGTACAGGTCATAAACAAGAAGTAGTGACACAGAGAGTAGCCCCAAGCAAGGTTTACAATTTTGCCAACAATTCTGATCCTTGGTAAATAGTCTAATATTTTATATTTAGCACACTTAAGGATATGTATTTTCATTTAGATAAGCTTTCTCTTAAACACACATACAATACATATGTATACAAACACACATGTAACAAAAAGCTCCACACTGAGACATTTATACAATCAGAATGAGACAACTATGACATTCCTCACCTTCTCCCCAGCTGCCCCAGTGAGGATGAAAGTGGAGAAGCTAGGCATGGGGTGCTGGGCGTCCGCTGACCAACATTCAATCGTGGCTCCCATAGGCAGGCAGAACATCGGCACCTGCTCCGGCAAGGGGAAGTCACTGTAGTCCTCTAAAGGATAACGGTCCAGGATTGCTGTGAGGAGAACACAAAAGAGTTTCATTAAAATACAACATAAAACTCTACAGAAGTCCCAGGGTAAAACGAACTGAGTTTACCCACACTAATAAATTTGTTGCAAAACATGAATAACTTCATATTCCTGTTTATTACAACAGCATTTGATAGTGGACCACCCATTTCAACATGGGATTGTTCCAGGATTGAAAAATATTACATAAGCAGAAGAACAAAGAAAACGGGAACACTTACAGGCTTTGTAGGCTAAAACATCATTCTTGACCATTGCTTTCTTGTAACAGAGAAATACATCAGAACCAACCTGGAAATGAAAAATGTAAATATGGTACATCCTCAAAAACAATACCAAACAGGTATGAAAAGTTTATTATGACAAAATCAAGACACATGGACAACAAAAAAGGCTTCACTCTTCCCAGATATATTCACAAAAGATTACACACAGGCTCAAAACTTTTACTAAAACAAACACAGAACCTAAACATCTACATCTTCATAAATAATGTCATTAAAAGCAAATTACAATTAAGTCTTGATAAAATAAATTGTTCAGTATCAAACAACAATAGCTTTAGATTTGAGAAATGGAAATACATTTTTGAGGAAGCTGGAGCAAAATAAGGGATAAAAAGCACTTTGATTGGTAAATTAATTCATATCTCTAAATACTAATCTGAACCAGAGGATTCGACTGTTTAAGAGATGATATCACTCTCAAGTGGCTCTGTAGTTTGTTCACTTTCGTCCGACCGCGGATAAAACAAAGTAAAATGAACTCGCCCTATTTAATCGTCTCAGATCTTTTGCATATGAATCTAAAAGTTGGATGACCAACAGAATCTAAAAGCCCATTCATAAAGGTCACTGCACACTAAGGTTCCAACACATTTTCTTAGATATTAGCCTAAAGCGGGTAAAAAAAATAATAACTAAAACATTAAAAAGCTGACATATCTTCCTCAGAGTTAGAGCCACACTTTATTAACGCATGCCGAAGAGACATGATTGAAGACACAGGGTAGGCACTTTTCGAGACTCACATGGAGACATCTAGACAGTCATGGGGTAAAAATCTACACGCTTACACTGAAATGAGCGGGCAGGGTGGTGAAACTATCTTAAAATGAGCAATTTGTTGGTTGGGTTACTGTAAGTCATTTATCTTAGTGATCCTGTGTATGTAACCAAAGTGCCGTTTTTAATATACAGCCCAAACAGAGAAGGTTTTTTCTTACTGGATCAAGATTTAGAACAATTTAGTTTGTTGCTGGCCTGCAGAAGTGACATGCAAAATTTAGTGGACATAGGTAAATCAATAAATAAAATAGAATTTGTTTTAAGCAGACAGACGAAAGTGAACAATCTATAATTAACATCAAAGAAGTAAGGCCTATTCACTCACCACACCCTTGTTAAGGTTTTTAGGTATTTTCAAGAAGGTCAGAGGTGGCTCTTCTCCCTGAAACAAATAGACGTACAAACATGGACTCATAAGTCGAGGAAAGCAATTTAAAAAAGTAAAAAGGCATGATGCTATGAAACAAACATGGTCTACAAAGAAAACGAAATTATCACTAGCTGGTGTTTCTAAAATTTCTCACATGATTTATAGATAAATATAATAAAATACACAATAGCAAAATTCCACATCGATATAATGAGGGTTTAGAAAAAATAAAAATTGCATCAAAATTAATTTTCAAAAAAATCTAATTTGTTAATAGCCTCCACTGATGACAGCAGAATAGAAAATACACAGGTTCACAGAAAAGACAAGATAAATACAATGTGAAATAGAAGGTGTACCCCATAAACAAATGATGGGCACACCAGTTGGTAGGACAGTGTCCATTCGAGCCTACTCAGGGTGTAAAACAAAACACTACGTTACCAATGAAAGTATAACACAAGAGTCAGCCAGCATCTAGGTCAGTAAATGGAAGAAAAAAGAGATGGAAAAAAATCCTTCTTCACACCCTATTTGACATAATCAAAGAACAGGACTCTTTAACTACTATAAACAGTAGTTAAATCTTGACTTTCAGAGCCATGAACACTACTCTTTTTAAATTTATATCCGTAAGATGAAAGAGAGTAGTAAGCCTGGCAGCAATAAAAGAAAAGTACAAAAGATGAAAAACTGATAAGACCTGTGCACTCAGCTTGATTGGAAAGACACTGAGCTATAATAATGGAAACAATGATTTCAATTTTGTCTCGAACAGATGCTCTTTTTGGAAAGTTTTATTTGGAAACCTTTATCTTTCAAACAACCAAAAAGGTTCATTTTTGCCTTGATGATCAAAGCAACAGACTATGTAAATGTGAATATGTAGGAGGTCCCTTTTGTTCAGAGCTTCTCTTGAGGACTATCCTGCCAATGCTTTATAGAAAGAAGTCTACAACAGAATCTGTATTCAAAACAATAAGCTAAATACAGTCTAACCAGTACTTGCAACCAACTATGCAAGACAAAAACCTACACAAATGACCATATCCTGCTTTCCCCTTAGTGTTTTTTTGTTCTTAATTATAATGACACTGTCCAAGAAGACCACCTGTCTAAGATGACCATTTTCTCCTCCACAAATGGTGGTTATCTTGGTATGGTTTGACTATATTGTTGAAAAGGGCGTATAATTCCAGCCACACAAAAGAAAACTGACCCGACTGCCAAGGATGACACAGATGTCCACCACAACCAGAGTGTCGCTGGCCGCGCATTTGTCAGCCCGGCGGTACGTGATGTAGATACGACTGCTGGTGCTGTTGTTCACGTTGGCAGGGTGACCCGCCATGGTAGTCTGCACCACCTCACAGCCGTCCATGACAAACTCTTTTCCCTCACACAGGATGCTGGGTGTGGGGGAGGGGGGATGGGGGAGAAGAAGAGGAGAGGAGAGACATATATATATGGCCATGTAAGGCATTGTTGGACTTAAGTAGTTTACCCTGAACCACCATGATTGATAACAGCTACATTAGAAGAAGTACCACTTTTATTGACCTAGTAGGGTACTTTAGTTATTTTGTATTTTCCATAATCTCGTTAGGCACACAGTGTTAGGTCATTAAGCTCTTAATCAGGAACAGAATAAGAAAATACGAACACTGAAAAGGAGTTACAGTACAAGCAGCACAAGAGCACCAACCAAACTACCCCCAACAGGCAGGGGAGACCTACAACAACCTATGAGTATGAGCATCATTCTCCAAACTACTACAAAAAGTTAGAATATAATACGAAAAAAGATAAAGCCAGCATACCCGAGATCTTTGAGCGGTGGTTTATCTCGACCTCGACGATAGCAGATGTACATATCTGGGCACCAGCGCATACTGCCATGGTTCAGGTTGGCCGGGTACTCTGTAGGAGTTGTCTCTATGCATTCGTAACCTTTCGGGACTTTTTCACCAAGACTCCTGTTGATAAATACATAGAATCAATGTTCCGGACTACATAAAAACCAAACCCAGTTATTCCACGTACAACACACTAAATAAATAGCATAAATGAGAGATCCAGATAAACCAAGAGACAGGGAGAAAATGAAAAGTGAAGAGAAGAGAAGACAAGAGAAGAGAAGAAGAGTGCATGACTCCGTCGGGGAAAAGGTGAAGCCACCACCGGAGAGGGACAAAGACCTTACCGTCAGACAGAGAAGAGTGTTATTGCAGCTAAGATGCAACGCGACGAGTCCCATCCTGCAGACGTATCTCCATGCAATAGGCTCCGCTCCCAATGATTCTTGTCTGGCGTGTGGCACAAGGCAGACTGCCGCCCTCCTAACTGAGGCCAGCCAGAGAAAGGAAGGAAGAAGAAAAGAGAAGAGAAGACAGACAGACAGAGAGACAGAGAGAGAGAGAGAGAGAGAGAGAGA